TTTCTTAGTATTCTTCCTTTTTTCAGTTGAGTCCAAAAACAAAACAAAAAAACTACAAAGCATAAAATCATTTTTTAATATTTTAATGGACAGAAGTTGAATAAAAACTGAATGTTTCTAGATTTATTTTGTGTTTTCTGTTTGTTCCTTTTGCTCAGATGTTAGGAAGACCATCATTGGGCAGAGCATCGGCGGCGTCATCTACTCGCTGTTCGCCGGTTCTCCTTTAGTTATCCCTCTGACCACAGCGCCACTCGCCATCTTCATCAGCGGTACGCTTCCCTCCATGCCAAACATCTTCTCTGCACCATAGCTCCACTGAAGTGTTCCTGCTTCAGCAGAGAAAAAAACTGTAAAAAGGAGATAATGTCCAGAAATATTATTTCCTTTTTTTCATCACTGATGTTGTGCAGAAGCTGGTTTCGGGAGCCCTCAGGACGGGACACGCTCAGCACACGCAGAAACTTTTTATTCTGTTCAGGGAGGAAAAAAAAAACGAGCCATTGTGAAGTTTATTTTTGCCGAACAGCGATGTTTCGTCGGAGGAAATTTAAATGATCTTAAAAGCTGGAAGCGGCAGAACTCCAGAATAATGAAGAGAAGCAGAGACTTTGATGCCAGGATGTAGTTTTAATAGCCGAGTTGTTTGCTTGGTTTGTGGTGTGATGATCTTTGAAGTAAATGAGTTGGAGCTGGAAACATTCTCAAGGGCATGTTTGGAGTTTAATTCCAGGAGCTTGTTSGAGCAGAACAGTGGCTTGTTTGTAAAGTTGTAAATCAAGATTTCAGCTAAATTGCTGCCTTTCTAACTGACTCATTACGTCCTTTTTTTTATGAGAACGAAGTGTTTTTTTTCTTCCTACTTTCTCTGCGGACTTCATTTTTGCCAGAGCTCAGAAAAATATGTAATTAAGTTGTTTTTCTCAATTTTCTGAGCACTCGCAAAACTAATGTGAATTGCTGGATGCACAGTTAGTTCTGTTTTTACCTGAATTGTTGGATTAAATCAGCAGTGATCTGTGTATTTCTGATGGTTTATAGTTGGATGTTCTCAGTCATAACTGATTAAATCACAAAGACATGCAGGGATTTATTTCTTAATTTAAACTACACAACAATAATGTAGGTGATTTAGACATATGACAAATTATGTCTAAATGAACATATTTCATTTTAATTTGAAAAATTAATTGGATTTTGTTTGTAAAACAATTGGGTGGTTATTTGGTTGATTTATTAATTTGCTGGATGGTTTGGTTCTCTGGTTTTGTGGTGGGTTGGTTGGTTGGTTGGTTGGTTGGTTGGTTGGTTAGGTTCTGTGGTTTTCTGATTGGTTAGTTGGTTGATTTATTAATTGGTTGGTTGGTTGGTTGGTTGGGTTCTGTGGTTTTCTGATTGGTTAGTTGGTTGATTTATTAATTGGTTGGTTGGTTGGTTGGTTGGGTTCTGTGGTTTTCTGATTGGTTAGTTGGTTGATTTATTAATTGGTTGGTTGGTTGGTTGGTTGGGTTCTGTGGTTTTCTGATTGGTTAGTTGGTTGATTTATTAATTGGTTGGTTGGTTGGTTGGTTGGGTTCTGTGGTTTTCTGATTGGTTAGTTGGTTGATTTATTAATTGGTTGGTTGGTTGGTTGGTTGGGTTCTGTGGTTTTCTGATTGGTTAGTTGGTTGATTTATTAATTGGTTGGTTGGTTGGTTGGTTGGGTTCTGTGGTTTTCTGATTGGTTAGTTGGTTGATTTATTAATTGGTTGGTTGGTTGGTTGGTTGGGTT